AGGAAGGGAAAAATGAAGGTGGGGATATCGGAGGGGGAGATGAACCATAGAGATTATGGACTCTGAGAAACAGACTGAGGGTTCTGGAGGGGAGGAGGATGGGGGGATGGGTTAGCTTGGTGATGGGTATTAAAGAGGGCACGTATTGAATGGAGAACTGGGTGTTATATGCAAACAATGAATCATGGAACACTACATCAAAAATTAATGATGTAATGTATGGTGATTAATATAATGTAATAAAATAAAATTTAAAAAAGGCAACTTTTCAAAAATTGTAATTTCAAGGATATACATGTCCAATATCAACTTAGTCTTTAGCTTTGTGGAATACACGAAGAATAGTCAGTTTAGGGGCACCTTGAGTCTTTGAACTCTCCTTAACAAACACACCATTATCATCAATCATCAGGACACTGGTCATAAAATTTCTTTCTGACCCAGTTCTATTTAAATACGTAACTCCCATGACTCCACTATATGCAACTACCCTTCTGTTTATAGATTATGTGGCTGAAGGAATAATCTATATGCTTTCCATATCTCTTATTTTTGAGATTCCAACTGGGCATCAAAGTAATAGGATCAAAATTCATAACTATCCTTTTTATAAATAGGCATGTTTTGAAATACTAAGAGCAAATCAAATTCTGATAAATTAAAACATGTTGGGAAAAGCTTGAGGATGACTTGATATTCAAAAGAACCTCATTGAGAAATCAAGTCATAAAGAATCCTTTCAAAATGCAAGCAACCACTCCAAGGTAATTATATATGTAGAAAGATATTATAACTTAAGATGTTTAATATGTACATATAAAGCCAGTTAATTCATCAAATTGATGCAATCACATTACATGAAAGCAAACTAAGATCACCATTTTGCTGTGTAGTAACTAAGTCTCTTACTTTGCTTTGAGATGATGCTCCTGGTTACTTCTTTCAATAGTCCACACGGTCACTGCACTTGGACTTGATAAGCACAGCTGGCGCCAGTTCATAGGGTTAAAAGTCATCTGGCTTACATCCGTACCAGGTTGTGTCTTCTTGCACAAAATGACACCTGATTCCCAGTTCCTTAGAGGGAAATTGTGTTTTGTAAAAAAATGATTCATTTGAATTCCACATCTTGAGAACATTTATCTAATTATTTGAAAACAATTTACATAAATTAAGCCTTAATTCATAATACAATTTATTTAGTCCATGATGTTAAATATAAAATTTATTAATAATTATGCTTATCATTATACTGTACCCTTCTAAGAAAGCAAAATAACTATGTGCTTTTAAAATATTACTCTCTCTCAACTAACTTTGACAAAGCAGGAAAGAATATCCAGTGGGAAAAAAAACAGTCTCTTCAACAAATGGTGTTGGGAAAATTGGACAGCCACATGCAGAAGAATGAAACTGGACCATTTCCTTACACCATACACAAAAACACACTCAAAATGGTTGAAAGACCTCAATGTGAGACGGGAATCCATCAAAATCCCAGAGGAGAACACAGGCAGCAATCTCTTTGACCTCAGCCGCAGCAACTTCTTGCTAGATACACCTCCAAAGGCAAGGGGAACAAAGGCAACAATGAACTATTGGGACTTCATCAAGATAAAAAGCTTTTGCAAAGCAAAGGAAACAGTCAACAAAACCAAAAGACAACTGACAGAATGGGAGAAGATACTTGCAAATGTCTTATCAGATAAAGGACTAGTATCCAGAATCTATAAAGAGCTCATCAAACTCAACACCCAATCAAGAAATGGGCAGAAGACATGAACAGACATATCTTCAAAGAAAACATACAAATGGTCAACAAACACATGAAAAAATGCTCAACATCATTCAGCATCAGGGAAATACAAATCAAAACCTCAGTGAGATACCACCTCATACCAGTCAGAATGACTAAAATTAACAACTCAGGAAACAACAGGAGTTGGTGAGGATGTGGAGAAAGGGGAACCCTCTTACACTGTTGGTGGGAATGCAAACTGGCACAGATACTGTGGAAAACAGTATGGAGCTTCCTTTGGAAGTTAAAAATAGAACTACCCTACAACCCAGCAATTGCACTACTAGGTATTTGCCTCTCATGGGTAATCTCTGGTTGCCATCATTATGCTCTCTTAATTAAATCTTCAAATCTGCCCCATATTTTCTCTGACCTCATGGCATTTGCCCATGTCTTTCCTCTGCTTAGAATCCTCTTCCTTACATTCTTCACAGGTTGGTTCCTACTCATCCTTTAAGTACTGTTATAGGTTGAATTGTGTCCCCCCAGATTTATACGTTGATGTCCTAACCCTCAGTACCTCAGAATGTCACTGTATTTGGAAATAGGGTCTTTACTAAGTTAAATGAGGTCATTTAGTGTGGTCCTACTCCAGTAGGATGAGCATCCTTATCAAAAGGAAAGGGGAAATTTAGAGACTGATCCATATACAAGGAGAACATCATGTGAACATGAATCCAGTTATTCACAAGCCAAGGAGAAAGGCCTAGAACAGATTCTCCCTCATAGTCCTTGAAAGAAACCAACCCTGCTTACACCTGGATCTTAGACTTCTAGCCTCCAGAACTGTGAGACAATAAATTTCTGTTGTTTCAGCCATTCAGTTTGCGGTACTTTGTTAATGGCAGCCCCAGCAAACTAATCTATCCATCAGTAGGTGAGTGGATAAACAAACTGTGGTATATTCATTCCATGGAATAGAAAGGAATGAACTATTGATACATACAGCAGCATAAGAGAATTTCAAAATAACTATGCTGCATGAAAAAAGTAATTATGCAGCATAAAAGACAGACAAAAAAAAAAAAAGAGTCCATAATGGATGACTCTCTGTATATAAAATTCTAGAAAATGCAAACAAATCCAGAGTGATAGAAAACACAACAATGACTGCCTGGGGGCAGGGGCTGAGGGATGGGGCAAGGGTGGTGTAACGGTGTGTGTGGAAGAGCCAATAAGGAAGGATCAGAAAGGGGCACAAGGAAACTTTGGAGTGACAGATATATTTATTATCTTGATTATGGTGATGGTTTCATGGATGTGTACATAAGTCAAAACTTATCAAATTATATTCTTTATATATGGGCAGTTTTTTTGTCAATTATACCTCGATAAAGCTGTTTTTTAAAAAAAGAAACTGCATAAACTAAATGTGGTTCTCTGAACCTAGATTATTATATTTTTGGATAAGAAATGCTGGTGTGTAAGGTGTATCTTCAATCATTCCTGAAACAGTTTGTACTTCCCCTTAAAAGAAAAACTCCCCCCATGGAGTTTATATTATAGATGGAAGAGTGAGTACAGCTTTGAGGCTGGCCCTATGAAATGACCCAGCAAAGACCACAGATGTGTCTTATCCACAGGTATTTCCTATACAGCTGGCAAATGAGGTGTAATGTTCCACTCTCTGAACATATAACTGTTCTAATGTCTCTCAAAACAATTACTTCCAACTTAGCTCTAATAGAGAGTACATCTTAATTTCATCATTAGTGGAAAACAGGCAAACCACTCAAAGCTACCATTTATTTGAAGGAAAGATGAAACTTTATACATTTATTTTCTTTACCCAACAAGGTAATATTATAACACATCAACAAAACGATGATAATTTTGCTCTCATATAGCTTTTGCCCTGCCAAATTGTATGCTTAGAAGTAGCAACTATATTCAACCTTCTGATCAGGACTTCTATTCCTTCCATTTTTAACTTGGTCCAGTTTTTTCACATCTATGTCTTTTAATACAATCCAGAAGGACAAGTTTAAAATGTAATCCAATGAAAGGAATTCTGCAGCATACTGTTAACTTACCAAAGGGCCAGTTCAAATTCTGGGAGAGAGGAGTAACTAGCCAGGTAGGTGCCACAGTAACTGAATGAAAGTAAAGTATAGTCCAGAAGAACATTGCCTAAAATATAGAATCCATTACAAAGATTTAATTATCGTGTTCAGATTAACTAGTCTTAGAGTTTATTTCCCTTACCTAATGATTTTCACATAATTCAAAAGCATTTAGCTCTTGGAATAACACATCTCCTAGCTGATTTCTAAGACTATGAACAGAAAGCTAAAAGCAAAGTTAAGATTCTTTTTTAAAAGACATTAGAGTTGGGGGGCGCCTGGGTGGCTCAGATGGTTAAGCGTCTGCCTTCGGCTCAGGTCATGATCCCAGGGTCCTGGGGTCGAGCCCCGCATCAGGCTCCCTGCTCCGCGGGAAGCCAGTTTCTCCCTCCCCCACTCCCCCTGCTTGTGTTCCCTCTCTCGCTGTGTCTCACTCTGTCAAATAAATAAACAGAATCTTTAAAAAAATAAAAATAAAAAAATAAAAGACATTAGAGTTGGGGCTCCTGGCTGGCTCAGTCGGTAGAGCATGTGACTCTTGATCTCGGGGTTGTGAGTTCAAGCCCCATGTTGGGCATAGAAATTACTTTTTTAAAAAAAGAAAAAATTTAAAGATATTAAAGTGAATTAAGACCATTAGGTCACTGTCTCTAGACTTCAATCAAAACTGAGTGTACTGTATCATGTATGTCCCAGTGTGATTTGAAATGACCCAAGAAGGATTACGTATTCCATAAATATATGAAACATTGTAATTAGAAAAGTTATTCAAACAACTTTAAATACTTTGGGGTGTTGTAATCATCCTAGGTTACTTCCAGATCTCTATACCTTGGGTCACAGCTGGCCCTTTGTTTAATATCTTCCAGTTCTTGGAACAATTATAAAAAGTTCTTTCTCATTTGTCCCTATAGTTGAAGACATGAAACAGAACTTTAAAAGTCTTAGTAACAACGTGTTTAAAATGTGCATTGTGAGGCTGCTTCTGTCCTCCTGCATATGAAGATCTGATTTCCCCTCTATCTGCTGTTCTTCAGTGTGGTTCCATAGGTACCAGATCTTCCTTCTCCCATGTCTGTCTTTTGACATGAATAAAAAAAAAAAAAAAACGCTTTACAAGAAAATATATCCTCTGTAATCTCACTACCAAATCTGGTAAATTTCTGGTATTTTCTTCTGTGCTTACTTGTAAATATACATTTTTTTCTTTAAATATAACTTTGAAAAAAATATGTTGCTCTTTATAGCTATAACAATCATAGATTCACAATTCATTTAAAAGACAGGTCATACAGTCTTACTCCTATTGTTTACATTACACTGAGCATTTTATCATTAATAATTCTTCAAAAATGTGATTTTTAATGTTTATATAATACTCCTTTGTGAGATGTTTTAATTTATTTAACCATATTCATATTACTAGAGACGTAGGAAGTTTCCAATCTTTTGCTATTATGAGAGTGCTTTTAACTCCTGTGCATACAAATCTTTGACTATATTTCTGATTTCCTTAAAATTGAATTCTAGGTCCTCAGCTGAGTTGAACTGGGTCAAATATGGTAATATTTACTTCCCAGAAAGATTGTATCAATTATTCCTACTGTGGGGGATGGGCTAAATGGGTGATGGGCATTAAGGAGGGCACTTGTGATGAGCACTGGGTGTTATATGTTAAGTGATGAATCACTAAACTCTACTCCTGAAACCAAAACTACACTATATGTTAACTAACTGGAATTTAAATAAAAACTTGGAAGAAAAAAATTATTCCCACCTTCAGCAAGAAAGTATGCTACCAATTTCACTGCACTCTGCCTAGCAGTTATCAGCTTTAAAAAATTGTGATCTTGATAAGCAGAAAAACCTCATCTTGGTTCAAACATCAAGTTTTTAAAAGGATATTGAGATAGAATGTTTTTGATGATTGTGGTCATCTGTAGTTTTGTGGTTTGGGCAGTTACTTTTTCTGTTGTTCTAATGTGATGCTTGGTTTTTTTCTTATTGTTTCATAAACATTCTGAAAATACTTGGTCATATTTGTTCCAAATATCTTCCTCAGTTTATTTTTTGCCTATTAATTTTTCATGGTATTTTTGATGTTAAGTTTTAAATTTGTATGTAATCAAATATGTCAATTTTTCTATTTTTAATTTTTGCCTTTGTGTGAAAAGTTCTTCCCCATCCTGAAATCATTTCAATATTCTACCATACTTTCTACTTTTCCAATAGGTTTGCTGTTTATAATGAACTCTTATTTTTGTCTGACATATGTTTTGATGTAGAGTATAACATGAATATCCAACTTGATACTTTTGTTCAAATTGTTTTTTTTTTCTTTTTGATGTCTGATCTTATCTATTTGTCACTCTTAGAAAATCTCATTTTTGACTGGACTCAGACTTAGAGGTAGAAGCTTTCAGAGAGGACAGCCTCCGTCTCTTGGCAGTTGGTTCCTGGCGTTTTTCTTAGGCCTCCTTCATTCTCTTGGCCAAAAGTTTAGCATATTCTGCAGCCTCCTCCTTATTTTTCTTAGTGCGCTGTTTCTTCAAAGCAATACACCAACGTTTGTGCTGGAGGACACGTGGAGTAACAAGACGCTGAATCTTAGGCGCTTTGGTTCTAGGTTTCTTACCTTCTTTGTTTAGGGGTTTTTTCACAACATACTGGCAGACATCATCTTCTTTAGAGAGATTGAAAAGTTTGTGGATTCTGTTGGCTCTTTTGCGCCCCAGGTGACGAGGCACAGTAGTATCAGTGAGTCCAGGAATATCCTTCTCCCCCTTTTTTTTACAATGACCAAGTTGAGAACACTGAGATTGGCATCCACAGTGCAACCCCAACAGATTTGCGCTTTCTCTCTCTAGTCCTCCTTGGTCTATAGCAGGAATGCCCCTTACTCAGCAGCAGGTGGACACAGCCATGGGTCAAGACACCCTGCTTCATGGGGAAGCCTTGTTTGTCATTGCCACCACTGATTCGGACCACATAACCCTTCCATTCTTCACCCAGAGCATCAGCAGCAATTTCTGTGGCCATACGCTTCTCATAAAAGGTACAAAGTTTGCATTCATTGTCCACTTCAATGAGTTTCTGGCAGCCAGTAGCTGGGAAAGAGATGTTCAGCTTCATCCTGAAGCAGCCTACCACCTCCCAAGGCACCACGAAAAAGAGCACAAATTGTTTTTTTTTTAAGGTTTATTTTATTTCTCTAAGTAATCTCTATACCCAACGTGGGACTTGAACTCATGACCCTGAGATTCAGAGTCGGATGTTCCATCGACTGAGCCAGCCAGGCACCCCTCAAATAATTTTCTTAACATCATTGTTTAATTGTTAAATAATCTATATTATCTATTTTGGGGAGGAGGAGAGAGTATACTTAGCTTTTACATATTCAAGCCTGTCCCCAAACTTCAACTCTTCCACTGATGTGATGAACCCTGCACCAATACCACACTCTTAATCACTATAGAATAATATTAAAAGGACCTTCTGTCTTACCGTCATTCTCTTTCCAATTATTCCTATTCTCTACTTTTCATTCTTCTAGATGAACTTTAGTATCATTTATGTCCTCCTTGCTCTCTAAAACATGATAAACTTAGGAGTTATTTTCTGTGAGGAACTATATAATAATTAGGCTTTCCATCCAGGAATACATCTGTATATATTTAAATATTTTAAATCAATGATATTCTTGTAGTTTTCTTCACTGAGGTCACTCACATTTCTTCCTGAATCATTTCTAAGTATTTAAATCTTCTAATTGTGTGGGTATTTTTTAACCAGCATCTTACAACATTCTTTTATTAGTCCTAGTAGACTATTGCATTTCCATAATCTTCTTTTCCATAGCTATACTTTTTCTGTTTTTATTGCATTGGCTAGAAATTCCAGGTTGATACTAAATAACTGTGGTAACAATAGGTATCCTTGATGACTTAATCATCATTTTATTGTGAATGCCTTTAGAGTTTCATTATTTAATATAAATGTGGCTACTGATGTGAATTAACTTTTAATTGCTTGGACAGGGCTATAGTCAAATAAGCAAACTGGGGAAATTTTAAAGATGAAGAGTAATTACAGTCCATATAGACAGTTACCAATGTATGAACAGGTTACACCTTAAAAGTTGTTTTAATATGTTGAGAATACAAATTTCCCCACAAATAAAATGTTATAAATTATAGATAAACTCCCTGGCTTAACCCAAAGACTTATTGACCCATAAGCCTAAATAACTAAGACTAGCCTCAAGCTCTCCTGAGCTTTCTAACCATGATGTGTTAAATAAGGGAATCATTAGATAGAAACGCCAGTAGATGTGCAGCAGGCCATTGTGGGTCAGCTGTATCTATGAATAAGTCAATAATAATAAATGGTGGGTACCAGTGATTGACATATTATATATGTGTGTGTGTCACACTGACATATCAATTATATATGTGTCAACATGACATATATAATTGATATATCAAATATATACATATATATAATTTCATTTATTATCACTACAGCCTTAACAGTAGATCCTACCATTATCCCCACACCTAAGGAAATTGAGACTCAGAGACTTTAGAACTTGTATGCTACCAATTTACTTGGATTTTCAATAAATCATCAGAAAAAAAAAATGTTCTGAAAAAACACTAAACTGTATTTAGTGCTGTAATAGTCTTCTAGCTCAGTGCTTCCCAAGTTTAATGTACATATGAATCACCCAGGGAATCTTGTTAAAATGCAGATTCTGATTCACTAGGTCTGGGATGGGAGCCATTTCTACATTTATAACAGGCATCCTAGGTGACGCCAATGTTGAAGGTAAACAACCACACACTTTGAGTAGCAAGGCTGTAGCCCACTTAATTAAATTCTCTGTGATCAGCCTGATTCCCTCTTTAAAAATGTGTATTATGAAAAACAAAAATAAACAAAAAACACCCTTCATTTATAAGAACCAGATTTGGTCACATAACAAAATCCTTTAGTTATGGCAGATGAAGTCTTGCAGGTTACCTTTCAATTTGTTCCTTCTGGTCAATCCAGGAAAGTTGTATATGTAGATGAGAGGTCTTAGCCTCCGATCAGAAAAAGCCACAACTTCATAAGGAACATTAGTTGCCACGACACCCACAACTCCATTCATACACTGGAGTACAGTCTTTTTCTTGGTTTCAATATTAATAAATATTACAAAATTCCCACAAGGGTAGCAGATGGTGCTGTCATTGATAAACTGAACATTCTGCTTAGGGAATCCTTGGACCCATCTTTGGGAAAAAAAATATGTCACCATCAATATAAAACATTCCAAATACTTTTTTTTTTAAACAAAGCAAACAAAAAGCCATCAAAATATTTGAAACACATCTATTCTTTTTTCACCCCCTTACTGCCCAAAACAATTTCTAAGATAAAAGAATACATATGCTGGCTGTGAGACCAGTTTGAGTCCAGGCACTATAGAAATTTAGTCTTAGGTCTTAACAGCCTTCTTCAGAGAACTTTTTTAGTGAAGCAAATCCTCTGACCAAACCTGAGAAAGTCTCAGAAGGATTTCTGGGGTTTGAATACTTGGAAAAGAAAAAGTAAAAACAACAGAGAGAGAAAAGAGCCTGATCTAAGACAAAACAGGGTGTATCCTGGGCCGTTCTATTATCTTTGTTTTGACTTTAAAAATAAGCTTTAAAAAAACAACTTTGAATCAGGCAGCCTGCTTTGTGGTTGTGAGCCAAGTAGAAAAACTGTTTCTTTACCAAGATGAAGGGTGTATAGCTGTTATTTTAGATCTAAAAATACAGATAAATGCAGAAAATAAATGGAATTAAGTCAACATGAATAAAAAGGTTAGAACACAAAGGAACATATTTTTAAGTAAGGAACGTGTGGTGGGTGTATGCTTCGGAAGGAGAGTCTGATTCTACTTTTATTTAAATACTAAATTTATGCTTAAAGATGGTGGGGAAGGATAGAGAAGGACACTAGTCTGGTGAGAGACTTCCACGGCCTGGAGAGTAGAGCCGGGGCCGGCGGAAGATGCTGTATGAAACTCTAAAAATGTGGAAGCAAAGAAATACCCCTTTTATCTGTGCAGCTCTTTATATTTTTCAAAGACCACTAAAAGTGCAAATAAATCCAAAGTTAGTGGATAGTAGTTAGAAGGAAGGGCCTGACTGCCCTAACTTAGGGGGGAAAATCACCAAAGATGACAAGGACAGGAAGGCAGGATGGGTGTGGGGGGCGGGGGAGGTTATGTATGAAAGGTCAGGGGGAAACGGGAGTACTAAGCCAGAAAGACGAGGCAGAAATGAGGAGGAGAGCAACTGTGGATGAGTGAGAGGGGTAGGGTCACAGAAAAGTGGGGGGAGGGGTGCAAACAGCTGGAGATGTGGTCACTAAATAGGGGGACGGGGGATGGAGACAAGAGGTCACACAGGGAGTCTGCAGGAAAGCTTTGGGGGATAAAGAAGAGGTCCAGGTTTCCGGGAGAGCGGGTCTAAAGAATAGGAGGAAGAAGAGGGTAGGGAGGGGATTAGATCAGAGGAAGTTTCCCGCAGACCCAAGTCAATCGCCGGGCGGTGGACGCCGCACCTCACGGACAGGGACGCGCCGGCGGTGGCGTAGACGTTCTCCTCTCGCTCCCGGCCTTGCGCCATGAGCCGTGTTTCTCTCAGCCGGGTCCCGGGCAGGACATGCCCGAGGCCGCCTGGGGTCTGCAGCCGTTACTCCAAGATCCAGCTGCGCCAACCGCAAAGCGTCCGCCGTTACCACCGTATCCAGGAGACTGTAACCCCTGCTCCCATTGGCTCTGTCCTGTAAACCTGTTCCGTCTCGAGCCTAGCGGACTGGTGGAAGTGCCGCCGCGCCTCAGCCAATGAGAGAGCGGTGGGCGAAGCGAGGGGCGGGCCCTTCGGAGTGGGTGCTGGAAGGCCTACCCTGCGGCAAATAATTACAATATTAATACTATCAATAGCTGAGGTTAATATTGTGTGCTGACCACTCCAGACGTTGTTGCAAGCGCCACGCAAGCATTATTTCATTTAAGCTTCAAATCACTCATCAGCCCCACTTTACAGATAAGCAGAGTGAAGTGGAGAGAAGCAACTTGCCTCAGGCTGCAAAGTCGAGTGGGACTTAAAGCCAGGCGTCATCCAAATCTAGAGCTCCAAGCCTTTAATTACTATATTACTCTCAAATGGCCCACGGCTCCTTCAAGGAGGCAGACAGCTTCAGGAAGTAACCCGACCGAAAGGCCAACATCTGTCCTTCTTGCTTCCTTTTCCCTCTTATACCCTCTTTTCCCTCTCTCCCTTTCCTTCTCCTCTCCTCCCTTCCATTCCTCTTCTCTTCCCTGCCCTCCCCTTCTCTTCTTTAGGTCTCTCTTCCCTGTCTTGCCACCTTTTCTCCTTCTTTTCGTTCACAAACTTTACTGGGTATCTCCCAAGCATTGAGCTAGTCACTTGAAACAAAATAATGAGCCAAACAGATAAAATCTCTTCCTTCTTGAAACTTAGAGACTGGTGGAGTCCAGAAAGGGGAGGATTGACGTCCATTTCACTACACAAATACAGAATTATAGATTGAACTAAAAAGAAGAGGAGCATGATACTGTGAATAAACATTTATGTTAAGGTCCTTGATGTGGGAAACAAAGGCAACAGAAAAATTAAATTTCCTTACTACTTACAGCTCATTGACAAGTCCTTGAAACAGGCAGAGTGACATTCTTCTAGGAACTCAGCTGCCTCAAGGTTAATACTTTGCTAAGGCAATCTTAGCCTGACCCCCTGATCCTGTACGTCTGCTTTAACATATAAAAATTCTTTTGGAAACTTCCTTTATCTTTACCCCCCAAGATATGTGTTGACAATCCCCCAAGCATATGACCCACTGATATAAACCTGAGGGGTACCATAACTAAGGTCTTACTGGACAATAATAAATGACCTTTTCCTAATAATAGCTAGCCCCCCTCAAGGTCCTGGAAACCTTGCTTCCAAATTCCTTAGAGACTTTTGCTATCCCTAACTCCCTCCCAACTTGAAAGTATATAATCAGCCACTCCTCATGACCCCGGTGCAGCTCTTTCTGCCCACAGGTCTGTCCCTGTGCTTTAATAAAACCACCTTTTACACCAAAGAAGTCTCAAGAATTCTTTTTTTTTATACTTTTTTTTAAAAAATATTTTATTTATTTGACAGAGAGACACAGTGAGAGAGGGAATACAAGCAGGGGGAGTGGGAGAGGAAGAAGCAGACTCCCCGTGGAGCAGGGGGCCCAATGTGGGGCTCGATCCCAGGACTCCAGGATAATGACCTGAGCCGAAGGCAGACGCTTAACGACTGAGCCACTCAGGCGCCCCGAAGTCTCAAGAATTCTTTCTTGGCCATCAGCTCCAAACCCCAACATCTTTCCTGTATCAGTCCTCACCTAGTTGGAAGGGCAGTCAGATGATTTCTGTGTGCATGTGCCATTTTCACTGAGAGCAGAAGGATGAAGAGTGATTGCTGGGGCTGGCAGGGGTCAGGGAAGTAGGATGGGCAGAGGAAAGTTTTTGTAAAGGTGTTAAGACCGGACAACAGATTGGATGAACTGGGAAGGGTAGCGTGATTGGAGCAGAGGGAGATGAGAAGAAAATACTGAAGACCAGGCTAGAGAAAGAGCCACAGGTCAGGTAAAGGCCAAGTTGAGAATTCTGGTTTTTCTCCCAAGAGCCAATGCAAACACATTAAATAACTAAGTAGGAAAATGACATGATCAAATTTATGACTATAAAAGATTCTGGCTGCAGGAAGATTAACAACTGGCCAGGAGAGTAGGGAAAATAAAAATAGGAAGTTCTGTTAGGAGCCCATTTCATGGTCCTAACAAGGGGAGCATGGCAGGGTGTTCAAGCACACCACTATTGGCATTTGAATCTGGATTGGAGGATTCGTGGGGATCCCCATGCAGGATATTTAGCAGCATCCCTGGCAGTAGCACCTCCACAGTTGGGACAATCAAAAATGTCCATAGAGGGCGCCTGGGTGGCTCAGTTGGTTAAGCGACTGCCTTCGGCTCAGGTCATGATCCTGGAGTCCCGGGATCGAGTCCCGCGTCGGGCTCCCCGCTCAGCGGGGAGTCTGCTTCTCCCTCTGACCCTTCTCCCTCTCATGCTCTCTGTCTCTCTCGCAAATAAATAAAATCTTAAAAAAAAAAAAATGTCCATGGACATTGCCAAACATCCACTGGGGTCAAAATCACCCTTAGTTGAAAACAACTGATCAGTTAATGTATTAAAAATTATGTCAGAAGGTGAAAATCTATAGGATTTGGTGGTGGACTGATAAAGAGGGATAAACAAAAAGGAAGAATCAAGGATGGTGTTGGATTTCTGATTATCACGGTCAGAGATAGTGGTGCCCTTCACTGAAACAGGGTGAAGAAGGAGAGGAGACATGTGTTTCTCTCTAAAGAATTTTTTTTTTTCTGAAATATAAGTGCCCAACACATGCAGTGCTTAGTGTTAAAGAACTGCACAGAATTGTCTGACAAAATCCCACATTTCTGAGTCACAGAGAGTAGTGGCATGAAGAAAAGTCAAGCTTTCCCCTCTGGTACTTCCTAAACCCTGGGCAGTTTCCTGTTGCCATTCCCTCACTAGTTGGTTCATTTGTGTTTTGACCAAGCCCTCCCTCCAAACATACCTTTAACCACAACCTGAGCATCTTAAAGCCAACAGCAGAGAAGAATGTGATGAGGTAAATCCTGCCACTGCTCCCAGGGTAAGTGGTAGAAAGAGAATACAAGGTAGGCAGGAAATGTGTACTCTGGAAAAGAGATACTGACCAGGCTGACATCAGGCATGATCCTGGAAATCTGAACTTGCCCAGTGCTAGAGCAAAAGAAGAACTGAATGGAATCAAATTGGAAAAAGCCATCTTATGGCTATGTTACTTCATGAAACCTGACTGGGGTTTAGATGAAAAGGTCTCCAGCGGGGTTTCTGGGATATCTGTTGTTGATATTCAGGAGGAGATGCCCTGATCTGCACCATGTGAGTTACAGGAAGATGAGTGGCCTTTCTTAGTCTGGAGGGGGAAATATTGATCATATCAGAGGATGGACTGGTAGGGATAATTCAGGAAAATCTGTTCCAGTGCTCACTCTGAAAGATTTACAGATAGTAGAAACAAAAGCTTCCTCTAGAAACAAGTTCTTTCTCTAATCAGTGACCTGTAGGAGCAGCCCTAAGCATCCTAAGGTGATAACCAGTATGCTCTACCATTTTTGGGAAGCACCCAACCCCCCTAAACACAATCTACCCCTCTCAACTCCCTTTCTCCTTGCAAATCTGCCCCCTACCACCGTTAGACCAGTCCTGGACAGCATAAGCCTAATTCTCAGCATTAGGTTTTAATCTTTGTAGGAGAACTCAGCTCAATGCCCCCCAAAAACAGTAGTCAATTCAAGTTCATTGAACCCTAAAGCCAAAACCTGTCCACAACCAGCCACAGAACAAAAAAATGCTTATGTCCCACTAAGAGATTATTTCACTCCTGGCTTCTCTTAGGTCCCAATCAAACTCCATGATATCTGAAAGATGAATTTTCAATAAGTTTTTCACCCATTAACTAGGTTTTCTAGGACCATTTAAACGTGGAAAAAGATTACACAGCATAGTGGAAAGCATTTCAGTAAGTAGATGAATAAATGACCTCTACTGTATTAGCTAATTATTTGCTTTTTGTGAAAGGTAGCAATGTTTATAAAAAAAGTTGAAAAACCAAGAAGTGAGCATTGTTTCCCTGGGTAAAAAGAAATGTAAATAATGAGTGTTTTTAAGGTAAAGGAATAACCATTTGCAATAGGCGGTACCTTCTTATTCTTTTGTAGTTGGCCCATTTTATAATAGTGGATGATAATAAACCACAATTTATTGAGCTCCTATTATGTGTTGAGAACTTAATAAAATCTGGATCCTCCCAATAACCATGGTGCAGAGGAAACTGGGGCTCAGGGAGTTGAAGTATGTAACTCAAGTTGGCATATTTAGTTCTGCATAGATTTCCTCTCTGCTCAGCTATAATAATAACAGCTAACTCTTAGGCCGCTACTCTGTGTCTGCTACCATTTATGAAACATGTATTATTTTATCCCTACTGCATAGACAGGGAAATTGACTCTCAGAAAAGTTAAGAATTTTGTACAGCCTATCACAATCTCAAATGGATTTGAACCCAGGTATTTTTAATTGTCTTAAAGAGCCCTTCTTTCCAGAGATGTGCAGACTTGAAATTTTAAATCAAACTGGGCATTTAATTTGAATTGAGCACTTTTCCTAGAAGAAGAGGAAAAATAGGGAATCCTTCATAATTCCCAGAAGTTTTAGAATAAAGAATATGGGATGAGGTTACATTTTTATGGAAATTCTGGGACAATTAGTAAAAATGGCTGAATGTTATTATTATGTGCATTTAATCTAACGTTTTTGGGCTTTACTTTCACATTTCAAATATTTTTACAGTGTATGTAGAACATACCTTTATGATGACATTTCTTGTCCCAAGTTGCTTCCTTGATCTTGATACTGAAATAACTACACTTGGTTAGAACATGGAAAGGATTTGTAACCAACATCCTAGTACACAATACACTGGATATACAGTGTTAGACCATGCTTTAAAGAAGATGACTGAGAAATTATTTAGTTTAAAGGGGAGAGGGGAGATTATCACATCAGACCCACCCTGAATTCCAAGGCAAGAATATAAATAGACAC